TAGAGAACACAGATGAAACCTACTGCATCGATAACGAGGCTCTGTATGACATTTGCTTCCGCACCCTGAAACTAACCACACCCACCTACGGAGACCTTAACCATCTGGTGTCCGCCACTATGAGCGGGGTCACCACCTGCCTCCGCTTCCCTGGCCAGCTCAATGCAGATCTGCGCAAACTGGCCGTCAACATGGTGCCTTTCCCTCGTTTGCACTTCTTCATGCCTGGCTTCGCTCCTCTGACCAGCAGGGGCAGCCAGCAGTACCGCGCCCTCACAGTTCCCGAGCTCACCCAGCAGGTGTTTGATGCCAAGAATATGATGGCCGCGTGCGACCCACGCCACGGCCGCTACCTGACAGTTGCCGCCGTGTTCCGTGGCCGCATGTCCATGAAGGAGGTCGATGAGCAGATGCTCAATGTGCAGAACAAGAACAGCAGCTACTTCGTTGAATGGATCCCCAACAATGTCAAGACCGCAGTTTGCGATATTCCACCCCGTGGCCTCAAGATGGCCGTCACTTTCATCGGCAACAGCACTGCTATCCAGGAGCTGTTCAAGCGCATCTCCGAGCAGTTCACAGCCATGTTCCGCCGTAAGGCCTTCTTGCACTGGTACACAGGGGAAGGTATGGATGAGATGGAGTTCACTGAAGCGGAGAGCAACATGAATGACCTGGTGTCAGAGTACCAGCAGTACCAGGATGCCACTGCGGAGGAAGAGGGTGAATTTGAGGAGGAAGCTGAAGAGGATGCTTAAAGGTCAAGATGTGAAGGTCAAGAAATCATCGCCAAAACAGAAAATAATCAAAACGGAACAACCACAAGTAACCAAGAAACCAACATAGTGTCAAGATCACTGCTAGAATAAAATTTTAGTGTCTGTTAGTTTTACCTTGTCATTGAGTGCAAATAAAGTTGTCGACTGAGAACTCATTTGCCTCTCATTCCTCTTCGCACATACATGCTTTTCATCAGTTTAGCCAGTCAGAAAGTAAGATCCAGGCTCTCTCGGTGCAGTATACAGTAGGCTAGATAGAGCTGCGAGTTACTGGAAAATCTAATGTGATGTAATGAAAGGGTTTATTTCTGCTCCATAAGCATTATGATGGCTAAGGGCCCACATCCATTTGCAACATTCTGCACCAACCCACATTCCCACAACTATCTGGCGTTGAAGAGATTGCACCCTGCCAGTTTTTAGATGACAATAACATAACACCAGAGAAAGTAGGAGGGCATTTGCTGGTTGAGTAACCTACTAATTATATACATGTGTTATTTGAGATGTTTACATTTTGTAGGGAACTCATAAGAGCTATTTCATTTTGGGGATTTAAGATAAGATAACACTTTATTGATCCCACAACAGGGAAATTTTTGCGTCACCTCAGCTCAAGTACAGATATATGAAGGAAATACAAAAATACAATTAAGTACAATCAATGAAAAAAAGTAAGATAATACACTATATACAATGGTAGCATACACAGTATGTGATTATGGATATAGTTGGAAATATGGAAGACATAAACTATATAGCTTGGAAGGTCCATTATGCATGAAGTGGTGACCGTGGATGTTCACAGTGTCCAGTGACTTATGACATCGTGATTGAGGAGTTATAGAGTCTAACTGCTGTTGGGATGAATGATCTGCGAAAGCGCTCCTTCCTGCAGCGAGGGTGTTTCAGTCTCTGACTAAAGGAGCTGCTACAGTACAGTAAAGGTTTTGACAAGAGGACTTCTTTTTCCCTGGAAATACAATTAAAAACAGTTTGACAGGTAAACTCCACATCAGGGGTGGAAATTACAATATCTTACAATAGAGGACAGTTTGCTACAATACATCAAGATATTGATGTAACTGAAGGAAAAACATTTAAAACACAGAAAGCAGGAATTACAGATTTCTTCATTGCATTGAGGTGTACAATAATGTGTAAATTTCTTGAGCCACACCCATTTCTTTATATCATGCTAAGGAAATGTGAAATGGGTAGAGTGATTTATTGGAACATGACAACACAAAAGGAAATACAATAATTATGGAAAAAATGTTTTTACAGTTCTAACCTGAACTGTCTTAGGAAGGCTTTAAAAAATCTTCAGGAATATTTTTCAGGCTTCTCGAAGCACATTCAAAGCTTGCCTTTGGATGTTGGCTACCTTTTATTCTGCTCTCTGTGAAGATAATCCCACACCCACATTGTGTGTTTTTCTGTCCAGGTATGTTTTTACTGCATTGGCACCACTGGATAAAATGCAGCCTCAAACCAGGGCAGGGCCTCCAGTGTTTTAAAGATGCCTTTAGACACTCACTGTTGTACCTCTTGAACAGGGATGGGCAGTAACGTGTTACTTGTAACGAGTAAAGTAAGGGATTACTATTGCCAAAACGGTAATTAGATTACCGTTACTTTCCCGTAGGAACGCTGCGTTACTGCGTTACTAAAACCATGATTTTTTGCGAGAATGTCTCACGACAGTGACGTAAGCGAGTGTTCCATTAGTGACAACAGCTGTGTGCAGATCAACAATGGATCACATATCGATTGTGGGAGAGAGTATGAGCGTTTAAAGCATGGAAGTACTGACCTTACTTTGAGTTTGATTCCATAAAAAGTGACAAAAACATTAGCGTCCATCGTGCGTGGGAAGAAAACTTCTTTTTACAGCGAAAAAAACCCCCTAAACTTCCAAGCAAGCACCGAGTGTGCTATGACGTAATGGGAAACTCACAGAGAAACTCGCGGATTCTTCAACTGACCGAGGCACACCTGCACCAGGGTAAACCTCCGCCTACCCCAGTCCTGCTTTACAGGTAAAAATAGAGCACAGGACCGCTGAGTCTTTGACTTTATTTATGTTCTGCTGTGTTTTACTTGCATCTATTTGAAAGAGTGAGTGTAAACACAAAAAATATTTTATTTTATGTGCTGGAATGTGTAGAAAATAGGTTTAAATGTTAAACTAATTTATTCAACTCAGAGAATGTTGCATATAATTAAATTTTTGCTTGATGCATAAAGTTAAAAGATTAAAACTGATAAAACAAGTTAAAAAAAGAGACTTTTCCATTTGATTACATTTTGTATGACGGATTATGCAGTAAAAGTAGAATTGGGCTGAAAGATCTATCACTTTATCACCTCTTCAGGTTGTAAATCGTGTTTTTAAAAAGTAACTAAGTAACTAAGTAATTAATTACTTTTGAAAAATAAGTAATCAGTAAAGTAACGGGATTACTTTTTTGGGGAAGTAATCAGTAATTAGTTACTGATTACTTTTTTCCAAGTAACTTGACCAACACTGCTCTTGACTTCCTTCTTAAAAAAAATTCAAATTTGGATACACCACTCAGTAAGACTGGTCACTGATTACATCACCTTTTTCTCGCTGTTTCCCTTCCATAAGAATGCCACCAGCCATCCTTCTATTTATAATTTGTTTTTCTATAAGTAATATATAATAAATCTACAACACAGGAAGGAATGCAGTTTATTGCTATCAATATTATACCCCACCCCTACAGTGCACATCATCCAGCTCTGTGACTTAAGGTCACATAAGCACTTTAGTGGACTTTCGTGGCCAAGGCATGCAGCAAGAGTTGGATCCCAAAGCAAAACTGTGCTGCTGGGCCACTAATTCTCCTACTCATGCACCTGGGTTTTGATGCAATAATTTCTCTATGAATATAAAACATAAGCACAAAATTTATATAACTGAATTTAGTTAGACCCTACTTGGGACAAGGCCTCAATAAAGCAGCACCAAATGCTTATTTTAACTCTTGTATCATGCAAATTTTAACTTTTGCAAAACATTCAAAACTAGTGTCATGAAGAGGGAAAGATCTTACATTATTTATATAAGGATATGTGATTTCTATATCATTATATATCTTATGGAGACAGTTTAGCTCAGAGGTGTTAAACTTATTTTAGTAGAATAGAATTCAACTTTATTGTCACTGTACATGTCACAGGTGCAAGGCAACGAAATGCAGTTTGTATCCATCCAGAAGTGCTTTAGTCATGATATAGATGTATTACAAATATATATTAGCAATAATATAGATATGTAAGTATATTACAGAAATTGGTCTATTATGGTATGTTATAATGTACACGGTATGAAGGTATGTTATGATTAAGGTATGTTATGTTAGTACATGGGATACATGCACTTGACATTTTGACATCTCTCAAAATGTGTATAACTGGTAGAGATGCTGCCTCCATACACGCCCTTAGTTTTTTGCATTCAGTGGATCAGCTGTCATTACATGGACATATTCCAATTCATAAAGGCAGAAAACTTTTACCCGTGGAGTTTTGCTAAATAAACAATATTCATCACTCAGATTTTTAATGTAATAACATTTACTTTTAAATACTAATACTGGCATTGCATCACTAACACGATCCTGATATTATTTTATTATAAACACTGAGTAATTAACGCGTTTACATCATTTTAAATGATATCCAGTAAAGCAAATTGGTCCCTGTGCGGCACCACGGCGGTATATTTGACACCCTTGGTTTAGCCCATATTGGTATGGACTAAACCCACATTAGCCCATAATGGTATCATCCAGTCTGCGTGGTTAAAATGGTGCAGGGCGCCAAAATTAATGTATGAACGCTGAAGTACAGAGGACATGTGGGCCAATCACAGACATTGAGTGAGAAGTTAGTGTCCAATGGCAACATATTATAGCTTGAGTGATACTTATATTGGCCAATCGTTTTCATCGTTAAACGCCTATTGTGGGCGTGGTTAATCACTTCCAGGACGCTCATGACATTTTTTGTTTATCTACACGGGACAAGGCATGGCGTGCGAAGGTGGGTGTCCGAGTACGATCTTTTTCTTAGGTTTAAACTTAATGCACCTTCACTGCAGGCTAACACCGGACGTCAGTTAAAATTTTTTAGTCAAGTCACCCGTACAAATCACTTTACTTCTTTCATAGATTTCAAAGTAATTAAATTCGAAAGTTGGGATTATAATTCTCCTGAAAGTAGGAGCAGAAAATGGTTTTCTTACATATGCCTCGTTGCTAGTAATAATCAATTTGACAGCTGGGTTGCAGACACATAAAATCTGTGATGTCGATGGTTGAATCACACAAACTAGCGGTTAGCAGATTTTGTCTTCATATTGACCGGAAGTGGTATTACAGGGATGCGATTTTAGAGGAGACTTGTCCATACACATTTGATAAAAGTTGCCTCCGCGTTGTTTAAAGCTGTTTAGATCACTACACATTGGGTGTTTGCAGGAATACAACGGCACAGGTACAGTTAGCGAGTCAATAAGTACCGATGAACTTTATCTTAACGCTATGGTGGGCGGGAGTCAATTAGCCATGCAGGCTAACGTTAGCTGCACAGGTTTCTATTTAGGCTATTCGATCTTTCTTTTAAAGCCTTGTTAAAACTAATGTTACCTTAATTATACGTTAACATTGCAGTTTATGCATTATGTTACCCGTGTTTATGTGCAGCACTCTTCCTGTCTTGCGCTTTGCCAGGAATGGATGCTACTCAGATGATCAGTGACTCAATCTTGGAGTCAGATGAGGAAGATAATGAAGAGGAGATCGAAAATAAGAGGGGACGACCGTTGGCTAAACTGTGCATCTTGAAAAATAAACACATACCTGAGGCAGGTGAGTGGCTAACTGATGTTGTTTTTACACGTGATCTGCACAGTCTGGTACTACTTAAGATAGCCTTTATTAGTCCCACATGTGGGAAATGTGTAAATCTTGCATACAGAGGGGGAAACATTTGATCCTTTGGAGAATTTGCAACTTTGCTCAGTTACAATGAAATGAACAGTCTCTAATTAGTATGCTAGTTTCATTTTAATAAAGAGGGACAATATAAACATATTACATAATATTCGATCCCCCTTAATAGTTAGTGATGAAACTCTTGTTGGCAAAGGATCAATATGGTCCAGTGCATTGACCCATTAATTTGGTGAAGTTGTCCAGTACCTTCGCATTAAGACAGCCCCAAAGCATAATTTTTCCGCCTCCATGCTTGACTGTGGAGATGGTGTTCTTTGGGTCGTACTCTGCATTTCACTTCCGAACTTCACTGCCAAAGAGCTGAATTTTGGTTTTATCTGACCACACCACTTTGTCCCACACCTTCTCTGAATCATTTAGCTGTTCACGGGCAAACTTAAGACAAGCCTGTACATGTGCCTTCTTGAACAGGGAAGGCAAGATTTCAATCCATTACAGTGTAGTATGTTATCAGTGGTGTTCTTGGCTGCTTTCAGATCATTAACAACCTCCTCCCATGTAGTTTTGGCCCAGCAGTTGTCACTTTCTCATCAAGCTTTTTGCTAAAATCTTGTCCAGGACATTCTTTGACAGCTCTTTGGTCCTGCCCATGTTGGTGGAGCGGTTGGAATGTAAAAAATGCATTCTTCTGATTTATTGTAATGTTGTACACAGCCAATCTGCAGGTGCAAGAATTCTGGTTGGATTCAAGAGGATCAAATACTTACTTCACTCAATGACATCCAAATCAAAACTTGTAATGTTTTTTTTCCTAGATTTTGGTTAATGTTCTGTCTCTCTCAATTAAATTGATGTTTTATAAACAAATAAAGTAAATTAAACTACACAAATAGGCAACAAATAGGGAAGCCAGTTTGGGAGTATGCGGTTTCAATAGTATTTGCTAGTAAAAAGCTGAGCTGCAGCATTTTAAACAAGCTGCAGTGACACACTGACACTCGAATAAAGACACTAAAATGGAATGAAGGAATAAATAAATAGATCTGAACCAGAGAAATGACTTCACCTTTCTGACTATATATCTAAGTATATTGTTAATGATGATGCTCTCTTTCACACAGAGTTTCCCCTCTTTTTGGGTGATAATGTGCTTGGCCGTGACCCCAACTCCTGCACTGTGCCCTTGCCGGCATCCTCAGTGTCCAAACAGCATGCTACTATCTGCCTTTGTGTGTACCGGAGACGTGCCTGTCGCAGTGAAGTGGACATGGAAGCTTTGGTTTGGGACTTAGGGAGCATGAATGGGACCCGCAAGGGCCGCTTAAAGCTGACTCCTAATGTACGCTATGCCCTCAGTGAAGGTGACAGTTTGGTGGTGGCGGACATCCCGTGTCAGTTTGTCATTTGTGGCGTAGACTCTTCTCAGGGGGACGCAAGCTCTCCTCTGAGACAAAATTCAGGGGTAAAGACCAAGTTGCCAGATGCCTCGGGAGAAAAGGGAGATGACACAAGCACAGACAGCAAGAAATGTGTCAATGGAGGGACAGAGACTCCTGTCAGAGCCAGCTGCCTGACCTTTGAGCAAACTCCCCATCAGCCACAGGGGACCTTGGTCCCAGAATCTGACTCAGACTCAGACAGCGAAACAGGAGTAAGAGGAGAAAGAAGACGAAGGACTCTAGGTTTGTACATTATGTAAATATTTATAACTATTGAAGCTATGCTTTTTGGACCTGGTGTTTACAAGTTCACTTTTATTCTCTTTGTAGTGTCTGATTCTGACTCCCATAAATCCAGCCCCATCAGCTCGTCATTCTTGAGTCCCCCAAACAAAGTTGTCCCTGAAAGGTATACCCATAAAAATAAGCTATTTATTGGTATTCTTTTTGTAACTGTGATTATACTACTGGCTTAGCCATACCCCATTAATACATATGTTTGACTTGTTCATTGTAAGACCTGTTAATTTGTTTTTCCCTGTTCTACAGTGACAATGAAAGCCCCATGACAGTCTCGTCTTCCTCTAAAAATAAACCAAACAGACATGACAGCTTCACCACACAGGAGACAGATGTAGATGCGGCGCGACAGCAGTTGGAGGAAAAAAAAGTGGTTGCACTTGTGGAGGACAGTGAAGAGGAGGAAGAAAGAGCAGTGCAAGCGGGGACAAAGTCTCTGAAAGGGGGTTGGCATATGCCAGTGGAAAAGGAAAGCAATGCCAGTTTTACAGGAGACGGTGAATTGTCAACACCAGCAGTCTCTACAGACGCAATCCCTGCATTTAACATGGACAGTGACACTGATGTGGAGGGAGAGGACGAAGAAGTGGCATCAGCGGGGCCTGTGACCTTGAATACAAACCAACAAGTTGATCAACCTCCAAAGACGGCCCAGTTTCACATGGACAGTGACACAGATATCGATGAGGATGATGATGCTTCAGGTAAAGCTCCCAAAGCTCTGCCTTCTTCTGATGAGAACGCCAAAACTCCTCATGCTGTTTCAGTTATTCCACCTGAAGGCGTCACCATGGACAGCGACACTGATGTGGACGATGATGGGGTCGTGTCAGACGCTGCCACAAAAGCAGGACCGACAGTATGTCAGAGTGCGCACACAGCAGACTCTGCTTTTTCAGTGCAGGCAGAAGATTTTCACCTCCACAGTGACACTGATGTAGATGAGGACGAAGCAAAAAATACAACAGATGAAACACCTAATAAATCAGATATAAAGCTTACAGCTCTTAAATCTGCTCCTGTGGCTCCTGACAACCTGCAGGTAGAGAGTGACACGGATGACGAGGCTCTCCCTGTCCCTGCCACCAGTAAACCCTCAGTGGTCGCTGCTGTTGCAGATTCACGCCCCACTGCAGTTGCAGATGCTGATTTGGAGATTCTCTCTGACAGCGACACAGATGTGGAAGATGCATCTCTTCTGGCTATACCTGTTGGTGTCACAACCTTGTCAGCTTCTCCTGGCCCAACTTTAAAGGCTTCTCTGGCAGATTCTGATGCAGATACAGATGTGGATGAATCTAGCGTGCCCCCTGTTGGGGATGAGGCTAAACCAGCTGATGTCAGAGTCGACGGCGATACAGAAGATAAGAAGTCAGATATTGGAGAAGAAGGTGAGGACCAGGTGCCCAGGCTGCACAGGGAAACTACACCTGGGTTGCTGGCTCCCCTTCTGCAGAACTGCTCCACTCCTGTGCAGATGTCAGGTAATCGATCAATCTTCAGAATTCATTTAGACTGCAAATATCTACTCGTTTGTTTTATTGCATTACCTTTCTAAATACTTTCTAAAATTCAGTAATTGATTATATATGACATACATCAGTGGCACAGTTTTAGGTGAGGCGCAATCTGAGGATAGAACTAGCCTGTGATGTTACAGTGGTCTCTTTACAGGATATCACAATGACTTGTAATGTAGTAATTGCAAAAAATACAATCTAAAAGAAATATAATCAAAGAAAATAATACAAAATATGTGAAGTGTATTGTTGGTGCTCAAAATAAAGACGGCGCCTGCAGGAGAGAGAGGTTTGAAATGAAGAAATCGATCTGTTTTTAAGTGAGTGGACTTGAGATTCTGTGTTAACTTCTTCGATCCAATCGTGTAAAGTGTTTGTTGCGTTGCGATGAGAAAGCATCAAGTTTAAATTGACTTTTACTTTGGATTTCAGATGAAGAAGTGGAAGACATGGCAACTCAAGCCTTCGTCAGTCCCTCTTCAGGTTCATTAAGGCGTGAGTAAATGACTATTAATAATGTCAAACGAGTCTGTTTCAAAAACATTAGTTCATTTTTTTTCTTTTGGCCAACAGGAGCGGCAGTGCCTGCAGTAAGACCTGTAGTATTGTCGTCCTGCTCAGACATCCAGGAGGAGGAGGATTTTGCTGTGGCTGAGACGCAGTCCTTTACATTTCAGAGCCGTGACCGTGTGAGCAGTGAGGAACCAACCCAAGCTTTTGTACTTGAGTCTTCTTGTGACAATAAAAATGACCAATCTACCAAAGAAGAGTCTTTCCAACTGGGACTGTCTGACAGCAGCCACCTGCAGTGTCCAGACCAAGCTTTAGCTATGGAGAACACCCAAGCTTTTGTTTCTGTGGAGAGGGGTGTGAACCTGGAAGATACCCAAGCATATGCAGCCATGTCAGCTGCAGACAGATCCTCTGCAGAAAATGACGCGAACCTGGAGGCCACACAGGACTATGTAGAAGATAAAGAGACTGAGCGATATCAAGTAGATGTGGCCTTAGAAGCAACACAGGTATATGTGGCAGAGCCGTACAGTCACGCTGAGGATGATGCAGATGATGATGCTTGTGAGACACAGCCTTCAGACTTTACTGCCTCTTCTACTCTTGCCATAGCAGAAACCCAACCAATGTTGCCTATTGCAGGAGAGGAGGATCTGGCAGCTGAAAATCCAGTTTGCTCTGTTCAACAAATTCAGCCGAGATCCCTCAAGGAGGATGGTCCAAAGGCAGCTCAGCCTCAGGAGAAGGGCCTCAGCGACGCTCAGTCTGTAACTGAAACTCAGCCCGTGTGTACAAGTGACAGTGAAGCAAGTGATGATGAAGGCTCATTTCCAGCTCAGCGAAACAGAACAGCAAAGCCACTGCCACTTGAAGAAGCGCAGACACAAGATCTCACTTGTTCAGAGTTGTCGGTTTCTGAAACCCAGCCAATGCACGGTGGAATTGCTGAAACCCAGCCCATGGCTACATGTGACGATGATGATGAAGACTCAATGCCAGGCCCGAGAAAAAGGAAAGCAAAGCAGCTTCATCTTGAAGAAGAGGAGACGCAACCTGTCGCAGACTCTGAGCTCTCCACTGCTGAAACCCAGCCCGTGGCTACATGTGATGATGATGATGAAGACTCAATGCCAGGCCCACGAAAAAGGAAAGCAAAGCAGCTGCAGCCTGAAGAAGAGATGCAAACCCTTGCTAGTTCTGAAGTCTCTGCTCTGGAAACTCAGCCCTTGAGTACAAATGAAGGCCAGCAAAGTGATGAAGAGGATGTGATTGCATGCACTCGGAAAAGAAAAGCCAAGCCACTTCAGCTTGAAGAGGAGCAGACGCAGCCCCTCACTAGTGCTGATGTTGAAACCCCGGCAGTAGTGACAGGTAAATGTGATGATAAGGACTCAATTCCAGGTCCACGGAAAAGAAAGGCAAAGCAGATGAAGCTTGAAGAAAAGACACAGCCAGTCGATAATTCTAAAATGACCCATGTTGAAACTCGACCCTTGACAACAAAAACTGGATTATCGCCTTCAGAAGAATCTGAAGCGGGAACCAGTGGAGCTTGTGTTCCAAATTTAAGAGTGACAAGAGCAAAACCGAGAGAAGAGGAAGATCAGGTGGCGTGTCCTGGACCATCCAAGAGGCAGACTAGAGGAAGGAGTGGAAAACCTTTGTCTGATGGTGACAACAATAAGGAGATGGTAAAACGGGCTAGAGGGAGAAAGATAACGAAGCAGCAGAAACATGATGGTGAGGAAGAGGATGAAACACCGGTAAGAGAAAGAAACAAGCAGGCTGTGAATAAGAGCCTGATAAAGCAACAAGATGGGAAAGATAGAGAGGAGGAAGATGGTGCCGATCTCAGACAAGAAAGAGAAGAAAATGATAACGAAAGGAGGACGACTGATGAAAGAAAGAAGCATCAGGATGAGATAGAAATGCAACTAATGGAAGAGAAGTTAGAAACAGAAGGAAGAGTAAATAAAGAACAAGAAAGATTGCAGGCTGAAGATGCAGCGAGAGCAGAGAGAGAAATCAAGGAGAAGGAAGAACAACAGAAAATAGAGTCTGAAAGGATTGAAAGAGAAGAGCGGGAGAGGTTAGAAAGAGAAGAAAAAGAGAGATTAGAAAGGGAACGAAAGGAACAAGAAAAAGAAACTGCAAAGAGAGAACAAGAAGAGAGGCTTGAGCGGGAGCAACAACTGCAAGCAAGACTCGAGAGAGAAGAAAGGGAAATGGAGGAGAGAGAGAGAGTGGAGAAAGAAAAAGAAGCCCAAGAAAAACAGTTGAAAGAACTGGAAGAAAAGAAAGAGGAACAAGACAAATCCAAAACGCCTTCAAGAGGCCGAAGAACAACCAGAAGAACTATTGCTTCACAGAGCACAGCAGAGCCAGACCAAGACTCAACTGTATCAACCAATGACGATTTCCCAGCAAGGAGAACCAGATCACGCTCAAACTCCTCCAACTCGGTCAGCTCGGAGAGGTCTGCTTCAAGTGTCCACGCCCAGGAAAGCAAGGGCAGAGGGAGAGGGCGAGGGCGAGGGACGAGGGAGACCAGTGAGACACCCCAGAAACCCGTCGCCAGAAGCAGCAATCGAAGGACCACTGTGGCTGCAGGGGCCGTAGAGCACGAGCCTGACTCGTCCAACTCACTAGCCCCTGAGGTTTCAAGCTGCAGCGTGAGCTCTCATAACAGAGGAAGAGGAGGCAGGCAGCGAGGAAGAGCGAGGAAAACAGAACATGACCCAGACTCTATCCCTTCTGTTAGTCAGAGTCAAAGTGATCAGAATTTAAGCCCTGCCAGGGGAAGAAAGGGCAAGAAAGCTGAGGAGTCCTCCAATGAGGCTCTCCATAAAAATGGTAAAGAGGACTCTCAGCCGGCTACAACCACTAGAGGGCGACAACAACCCAGTGCAGCTACAGATGAGGAAGACCAGTCGAAGCAAGAGGAAGCATGCACCAGCGAGGAATCGCTACCTAAAAGAAATGTCAGGGGCAGAGGTCAGAGAGCAGTGAAGAGTGAAACTGTGGAGAAACCAGTTGCTCCTGCGGTCAGTGATGATGATGAGGCTAAAGATAAAAGAAAAGCAACGAGAGACTTGGAGGCAAATACTGGAGCAGATCTCAGCTGCAGCAAAAGGAAAGAAAGATCTTCAAAAACGGCAGAAACAGACGAGGAAGAAGGAAAAGGCAAAACAAACGATGAGATTCCTGTTAGTTTACAAGGGAAGAAAAGAGGTAGAGCATCCACCGCTCAGGCAAAGAAGAGCGCAAAAGAGTGTCTCTCAGAGGTGAAGGAGGAGGAGAGAGAAAAGATGGAGGGTGAGACTGTGGAGAAAAAAGTCAGAGGTCGACAATCAGCGGTCTCGAGAAAGAAGAAAGAGGAGCTGGAAGAAAGTGGAACATCTTTAACTGCCACAAATCAAGATGCAAATTTGGAGGCATCAGAGGTGACTATTGCTTCACTTTTAAACATACGCAGCCAAATGGAAACCATAAAGATGCGGTTTTGATTGAAACAAAAATGCATTAACATTGAAGGGTAAATCAGATGAAATGGAAAGCTGAGTAGTAAATAATTAGTGTCGAGAAGTTCTTGTTGTGAAGGAAGGCTTTTACCTTGGCTCAAGGCCATGGTGCATTTTCCTCTCTGAGTCAGCCTTTTCAATATTGATGAACTACCATCAACATGAGTTACTCTCTCTGTTTCCTCCACTTTCTCTAGAGCAGTCTAACCTGCTCCGCATCACTGCTAATGAATTAAGTGGTTTAGTGGTCATCCAGTCACTTCCTCCACTTACATTTTATGGTGTTTGCTTTCTGGTGCAAGATGTTGTACCATCTTCTTTGCATGTTCCATACTTTGCCCTTCGCTGTCTTCAACCTGTTTTGTTTTCCCTGTCTTTACCTACCCTCTCCCCTATAACAGCCCCAGACTCCAACCAGCAACGCATCCCGGAAGCGGCAAGCTCCTGCAAATTTCTCTCCCGTGGCAAAGAGTCCTCGCTCCTCCTCTGCATCCCCAGCAGCAAGTGGTCGACTACAAACTGAAGGCCAGGCATACAAGGTCTCTGTGGTTGTGTTAGCAAAACACGCATTTTGTGTTTAGGAAAGAGACGCTCATACGGTGGTAGCTAGGCTGATCAAACCTAGCCTAAGACATCGGAATCATAGTGGCAAATCCTATACTTGTATTCTTATATACTAAACATCATATTAAGAAACACTATTCTAAACTATCTTAGCATCTCGACAATGCTCTCAGTCATATTACTGAGCTGTAGCCAGTGAAACGTATTATTTATGGAAAGTCCACCACGTGGTGCTAGCATCACATGCTCTTCCAGTTTTTTCCCAGTTTTTCCTGAAACATGCTGCTGGCACTACATTTAAAATGAGTGCACATGTATGTTTACAATTACAGTTTAATATTGTGTTTTAATCTTTTGGCAATTCATCAGGCTTTAGCCTTATAAACATTTTACTCAGTGTCCTAATAGAATTGTAAAATTCATGTTGTGGTTTTGTTAGCATCATATTATCGATGAAGCTTTCAGAAGTCACCGCTCCTGCTCGAAACTTTTGGATATTTGGACCCATTATAATAAACTAAACACAAAGCCTCCTCCATCTAACCTCTGTGCACAGTGGTCTATTATAACAGCAGTATCTACTCATCCAAATCATTGAAAGTAAAAGGATTTCACTAAGCGTTGCATTCACACTTAGAGCTGCGTAATCAATTTGTGCAGGGTTAAAGTTATTTTTGGTTTGTTCGTGCAGATGAGAGCAGGTGTTTTGAGCTCACGAAATCATTGTTCCACTAACCTCCTGCAGCTTGTTCTGAAATTTCAATCGACTCTTGGGCATGACTGTAAAATGCATGACAGTGCTTTTCTTTGAGAGAAATGCCTAATTTCACACCTCTATTTTGCCTGCATGGCAGATTAAGTTGACTTGAGGCTTTTGCTTTCACAGGTTCTGTTTACGGGGGTGATGGATGAAGCAGGGGAGAAAGTGTTGGCGCGCTTAGGCGGCAGCTTGGCTAAAGGTGTGGGAGACATGAACTGCCTTGTGACTGACAAAGTGCGCAGGACTGTCAAATTCCTTTGTGCACTGGCCAAAGGCATTCCAATCGTCACTACAGACTGGCTGGAAAAGGTATGTTTGAAAAACTGCAGTCAGAAAGTTCTCTCTTAATTTATTGCAGATGTATATTATGATAATAGTCACCCTTCTTGTCTGTTTTAGAGTGGCAAAGCTGGGAGCTTCCTGTCTCCCTCCTCCTTTATTGTTAAGGATCCTGAGCAGGAGAAGAAGTTTAATTTCTCCTTGCACGAGTCTCTAAGGATTGCCAGCAGCCAGCCTCTCTTAAAGGTACTCACTCATTTTTCCTTAGAGTGAGAGGTTGACAGTGTGCCATTAACAGTATTTCCACTAGCAGACGGCACGGGGGTGGTGCATGATGTTTTCGTGATGGGAGCCCATAAACGTTTGAGTCATCCTCAGTCTAAATCTGGTTTAATATTTCCCTTCGAGCATTGTTTGAGCCTCTTTATTGTTAGCAATGTTCAAATCTTCAAAACAGCAGCCTGTGGATTGTTTATCATCATTCTGTGGCTTAGGGGAAAGTAATTTGATATTTGCTGTAAATATACTGATTATATTGCATGTATTATGTTTCTCAGCTTGCGCTATTTCATAGAAGCTTGTAAAGGCATACCTTGTTACAACATAATACCAGCTAAAATTAGACATATAATATCAAATTTCAACCCCAGGAGGCTTTTACTAAATTTCTTGAAGAGATTAAATAAAAATAGATTCACTCATCCATCTCTTTTCTTCCGCTTATCGGATTCAGGGTTGCGTTGGAGCCTATCCCAGCTGTCCTAGGACAAAAAGCAAATAGACCATTGGATGTATTCCAAATAAAAGTAGAGTAAAATGCTTTGCCTTCTTTCTGTCTCTCAGGGATACGAGGTCCATGTTACTAGATCGGTTAAGCCAGAGCCAGTTCACATGAAGGACATCATTTCCTCCAGTGGAGCTACCTTTCTACCAAAGATGCCCTCTTCTAATAAGGTGCCAGTTAAGCTGAGAGCCCTTCTCCGGCCAAAACGTTACATGAAATAAGTCTTTGCTTATGATGTTTATTACCTACATTTTAATTCCTCTTCTATTTTCTGTCACCCCCGTCTCCCTCTCTGGCTCTTAGCCTCACACTGTCGTGGTTTCCTGCGAGGAGGACTGGTCTCTGTGTCGCCCGGCTCTGTCTGCATCTCTCCCTGTCGTCACCGCTGAGTTCATCCTCACAGGGATCCTGCAGCAGAAACTCGATTTTCAGTCCCACACACTCTCGCCTTCCACAGCAAATGTACAACCTGCAGGTGGCAGAGGAAGGGGCAGGAGGAAGACTTAGTACTCCCGGAGCAAAAATACAGTGACTGTCTGTGTATGAAATCTTTAGCTGTGAGGTTTGTCCGTCATTTCTGGATACACTTTAAAACTGTAGACCGGTAAAACACCTGTTTAGCTATTGGACTGTGAAAGACTGTATTGAATGTATTGTCGATTGTCCACTGATGTAAATGCGTAATTTACAGACGTCAGTGCTGGAAGAATGTGAATTATTTGACTGTCCATCATCAAATATTTAAAACTAATTTTTAACTTTCCAAGAGAATGAACTGAGAAACAAACAGAAAAGTAGTTAACTTAAGACATTTTGGAAGAATGGTGAAAACTTTCTTTTTAAGCTTGTTTGTGCAGTCTTTTTCTTTTGCCTTATACACACAAACACATTGAAACTGTTAAAGCTACCTCCCCTCTACTTCAAACCCTTCTTTTTTTATGTAGAAACAAGCAGAGCAGGAAATTAACACTGCTAAACTGCTGGTACCCTCCATGTGTGCTAACTGCTTCAGCTCAATCAGCCTGTTTGGCAGGTAACCAACCTTGAAGAGGGAGTTTGTGTAAATCATGGTGGATGGGAGAATAGATGTGGAGATGGTGTCTGTTATGGTATCCAACAGCCTTGTAGTCAGAGGAAAAAAGCTCGTTTCCGGCCTACATAAGAAGTTCATAGTGCCTTTTTAAATGGAGATAATGACGAAGCTACCCACGTGTCTTTCTGGGGTTTTTTTCTGTCTCCATTAACCACCACCATCTACTCCATTAAGGCCTTATCCCATCCTGTTCCTCCAGAGAGAACAAGACAGACTGCGGATGTACCTTCTGCATCAACGCCTTTGTGGTGTTTGTTCTCACCATCGATGTCTGTTTGCTTTATATGTGGATGTGTATTTTTTGTGTAATGCACAAAGCTTGATTACTGACCCACTGTCACTGCTGTGTCACTGGTGTTTTAAAGATGGTAGCTTGTCATTTTTAGAACTGTTAGCATGCTAATGCCTTAACTTGAAGTCTGTCTTCGTATCAAATAATGAAATGTCTCCATTATAAATGAAAAACATTAAATATTTTCCAGCTGCAACCACACTGTGCCGAGTTTAAAATTTCACAGACTGAAGCTTCTAAATCCAAAAATTGACTTTCAAGTTAAACCTTTTTGTTTTTCAGTAGATTTGATTGTAATTTTAGACTACTGAGGACGTCATAAATGAAGAAGGGGGTAGATAAATTGGGACGAGCAGAGGATTAGTGAGGAAGACGTAAGGGCAGCTATGCAATGAAGAGTGGAAAGGTGGTTGGTCCACCTGTGGAGGTGTGGAGATGTTCAGGAGAGAGGGCAGTCAACTTTTTGACCATATTTTTGACACGCCCTTGGAGAGTGAGAGGATGTCTGAGGAATGGAGATGTGTACTGATACTGATTTTAAAGAACAAGGGTGATGAGTGGAAGGGTTTTAACTACAGAGAGATGATGTGGAGGAAAGCCTCGCGAAGTGGAGGTATGCTGCAGAAAGAAGAGGTACAGAAATCAGTAGAAGCAAAACATGACCATGAAACGGAGAGGTGGAAAGGTGAAGTGGATAAAGGATTTTAAAGACGGAGCTGCCAACAGGCAGGAATATAAGAGGAAGACCACCAAGAAGATGAGTGGATGTAAGGTTTGGTGGGGAAGAAGAGGATACCTGGAATAGGGTGAGATAGCGATGGATGATCTACTGTGGTGACCCCAAATGGCATAAGTGGCTCTCCCTTTTCTGGCATCTTCTTGGCAAAAAAGCAAACAAAGCAATAGCTTGAGGAAATGATGGACAATTTTTTGTGTTTATATAAAAAATATGTGGTAAAAATAGGTAGATAAAGGAGGTAAACAACAAATACTTTAATAAGGTAAAAGCATGTCTCAAATTAAAGATAATATAGCCTATTAAAAAATTAAGTACATATAAACATATCAACGATTTATACCCTACAGACGGACAGCATTTGGGCAGAACGTCCTTCTGTCCAGGGTGGCCATCTGTGGAACAGTCTTCCTCAACCCATTAGAGAATGCTCGACATTCAATTTGTTTAAGGCAAAGGTTAAAAACTGGTTATGGACAAATCAAGTGTGTGATCATGTATGCGTTGTATAGTTTTAATGTTTTATTTGGGAACAGAATGGTGTGTATGTGTAAGTTTGGTGATGGAGTTTTTATTATGAATGAATGATGAATTTTTATGAATTATTATGTCTATTTTTTTATGTTTAAGGACAACAGATGGAAATGAGCCCTTGGCTATAATCTGGCATGTTTACATTCATGTAATTTTTTTTTTTTTACATTTATGTTCATTAACATGCACTGTCCTGAATAAATAAATAAAGTATAACGAAGTAAAACCATAATTGTTTTTTGTTTTAAAAAAAGCTTACTAAATGCAGTAAAAACATTAATGACATTAAAGTGGATCAGTATATGTACAGGAATGTGTAGTGGACAATGCTGTGCAATAAACAGCTTTGTGCTCTATCGGTATCCTCGTGTATCACCTGGCTGGTACCTCGTTAAATACCCCCCCTAGCTGTCAGATGACCATAGGTATCTCGCGGATGAAGGGTGTCCGGTGTTTCCCGACACGAGTCGAGTGGCTCCGAGAGGGAGCAGAGCCCGACATATTCTGAACATCTTCCAAATGTTGAGCCCGAGTCGTGAAGTGCTGCTCTTGAGGGGGGCGAGGTTGCAAGGGAGGGAGACGACGAGGGAGAAATCAGGCGACGTCCGCACAGATTTTCACCTCTGAAAGCATCCCGGCAGTCTGCTCCGTGAATGCACCGCAGCTCCAGCCGGCCACTCAAAGGTAAGTGCGCTGCAGAGCGCCGTTTTTCTTCACATACATGTACGGATGTGTGCCTTAAACGTGGCCGGTACGTGACGGGTTAAATTCTGCAGTTTTTTGCCTGATGCGCTGTCCCGGCTCTGAGGTGGCTGATAAGACTCCGAGCTGCGGGGTTTATCACCAACTGCACGCTTTACTGGGAACGAGGAGAGGTGTGAAAATATGTTACCTGTTAAACGGTCCCGGCGTGGAGCTCGGGCTTTGTGGATATTTATTGTTTTCAATATATATATATTTTACTCATCTTGTTTAAATTAAAATTCAAAAAAATTTCAGAAATGTAAATTGTGGATGGGGAAATGTTCATTTTTAACAACATGCAGGCTCATCTAAGCAGGTTTAATACAAAGACATACTTGATTGATTTCATTATTGCTGGCAATATAATCATTATATGGAAATTATATAGATATATTTATTTTAGTGTCTCATGGTACTAGTTGTGTGGTCTATTGGGTAAATGTTCTGTTAAGACTTAAAAGCTTGGTTTATAGCTTCATTTCTCAGAGGAAGCCTTGGCCTACAGGCTGTCTCTGCCTTGCTCTGCCTGCAGTCCTGCTCATAAACTGTGGCCATTGCTGCACAGCATCAACACCCAACAAATCCAACCAGTCATTGTTTTCTATCACTGCACAATTATTTCATCTTAAGCATGAATATATCTCACATCTTTTCTTTCATCACCTCTCCTACCATGTTTGTCAATGCTGCACATAGCTCCACCAGCTCCCTCCTCCTCCACCTCCCCGCTCCTCCCTCATGTCCATTGATTTTAATGAATCTGACAGGTGCAAGCAATATGGTGGAAACCTGTCTCATCCTTTAGTTCACTGCAGCAGGCTTTGTAAGAAAATTGGTTGTCAGCTGCTACAGGCTTCCTCTACTAAATGGTACAAAAATGATACTCTCTGATTTCACTTGGATGAGATCTTTGAATTTGTTTTGTTTTCTTTTTCAACAAGAGGAGATCTGCAGTGATGTTTCACCATTCTTTGTTTTGGTGAAGGGGAAACCTCCAAGCTCGTTTTTGACGTATGATGCAATCAAATGCACCATTTTCATTCACTCCCACACGTGTCTCTTGATGCAACAATACTTCTTTCTTTCTTTCTTTCTTTCTTTCTTTCTTTCTTTCTTTCTTTCTTTCTTTCTTTCTTTCTTTCTTTGATGCCTCATGATTTATAAATGCCAAGCTCTGTGAAGGCATGGTGCAGTACGTACTTCTGTGTAAACCTGCTTGAGCTCACTTGAGCTTAAGCTAGCTTGCCTACTCAGCACGAGGGGGACGTGACCCCGTGTTCCCCGTGCAACGAAAACGAGTTAAGTGAAAATGAAGGAGAAATGATGGAGGTTAAAGACAGAGTTTGCTTTGTAGTTGCCCCACATTTGCAGTCACTGAAGGCATTTCCGCCTCTTTAAAGGCCATGGACAAAGATCTGACTGTGTCTCCGTAAGCGGGGAGTTTGGCGTTTGAAGGAACAGGCACGGGCTTTGATTTCAGAGTGGGATGCATTGGCTTGGATTATATAAGATAAGGAGGAGGAGAGGATAAAAGAGACACGATAAGAGAGAGAGTGAGAGAGAGCCAGAGAAAATTCAGAGAAAGTGGCAAATTAAACAGCTGCCCTGAGACAGGAGGCATGGGATTCGGGTTGAGAAAAGTCATAGTGAGAACACAAAATGTAACGGAGAGACACTGAGAAATGACACCAAGCTGTCAAACAGAAGCACAGAAAGTTAAAGAAGGCAGCTGAAGAGGACAGGGTGAGTTGAACAAGGTCACGGTGGTAGAAGGTAATATCTGTAGATGCGAAAATTATGACAGAAGTGAGAAAACAGAAGAAAAAACAGAAGGAGGCTGAGCGGAGAGGCCAGTGAGGTGGAACGAAGACTGAATGAAGCTTGGGGAAAGGAGAGAGAAAGTCAGGCAAGGGTGGCAGATGGCATGCTAGTCTGTGCCTATGTTGGCATCCCACAGGGCAGTGTATAAATAAGATTATATTATAGCTTAATGCCCGTGTTGTCATGTGCATGCATGTTCATGCTCAGTGAAGCAGGCCTCGTCTTCTCATGTTTCGCATCAAACGCTAAAAAAAAACAACAAGATTTTTTATTTTTTTGGTTCACATATCCTGATTGTCCGTTGCGACTCCCTGAGACTAACTGCTGAGGCAAACAGATGGACAAACGGTTCCCCTTTCGTTCTCTTCACAGCCAACCAATCCTACGTCTCGGATTGCTGGATTAATTAAATACTGACTTCTTCAAGGGTCAGTCTGGTTTCTTTTAGTTAGATGTCACAGTCAGTGCATGATGCAGCAGCTTCAAACAAAGGGTTCAAGCAGAAGAAAAACAAAGATGGGGACTGTTGTTATACAATTAGTGTAATTTGAGTTTTAGTGATGAATGGACACCACTTATTCATTTGCCATGAGACAGTGTTCTGTGTGACGCAGCTCTGTTCCATATTTTATTTCAGATACAATAAAATCAGTGGGCTTTTAGGCTTTCTGCCCAGAGTGCTGTGTGAGAATGTGGCAGACACACTGCAGAGGGTTGCATGAGGCCTTCTGGGTAACAGCAGTTCTGGTTGTCAGATTAATACACTGTGAAATGCTAATTACTGTAATTAAATAATAAGGAACAACAAGAGCCTTTTTAGTATTTGGCTTTGAAGAAATATATTCTCCAAAGCCAGTTAGATGGCCGGCATACCGGAAATACACGATCAGCCTAATAGACTGTGAAGATGGCTGCGTGCTTCATCACTTCCAGCAGGAACGGGATGTCTTGTGATGTCTGCAGTGTTACAAAGCGACACTTTAATCCTTACTGCATGTTTATTATCTGCTGCTAAGTGTGACTGTGAGCACTGCAGGTGTTCCCTCCCAGGCCCCTCCTGGGCTTTGTAAATGAAACTGCAGCAAAAATCTCTTTTGCACAAACTGTCTTGATGTGCTGCCTCTGTGTAGCAGAAGGCACTTCACATCACAATAATCCCTTCAGTGTTTCAGCTGAATTCTTCCACAACAGAGACCTTTTTTTTAAAAATTCC